GAACACCTGTAATCCATTTGGTAATAATTATAGCATCTAAGAGATTCGTTATCGATCGAATATCGAATTAACGTTAATGAAAATTAATAGAAATATGTTTCACATTGTGTTGAAGATACTCGAACCGTCATTTCCACCGCCGCAGCCACCGGAACCTCCACCTAGGAAGTATGGGATCTTTGTCTCTCGACCTCCTGGCCAACGTCGTCCACCTCCCGCGGCTTCAGCTGCGACTTCACCCCCAAAAATCGGACACAAGTAACTACGGATCTGTGGAAGCTTCCGAGGAATCCGGGATTTATCACCGTAAGCGCTATTTTATCCATTCTGTAACCTTTTCTTTTTATATAGAATTTTGTTGAGATATGTACAATTTTCTGTGCTGGACTAAGTTAAATGCGTAGTAGAGATACTTGTATGCGAGTGTCGGTGTGTGGAAGTATATGTGTCCGCAACGTCTCGAAAACAAAGGAATGTAAACTCTTCAGTCGGTCAAGAGTCAGTTAACAGTCGGGTATAGAAGAAAGTGCTGAGACGCGTGCAAGTGTGTATCGGTGAATATATAAGGAATCGTTCATGAAATAAATATTTCATTATTTTAATATTAATCCTCGGTATAAATTTATTTCGGCTTCAAAGATCCACAATTCTCAACAAATTTATATTTCTCGTTAAATAGAAACGTTTCTAAATATTGCAATTAACGTTACGAAGGAAACTTAAGAGAATTTAGTCTTAAGTTATGTCTTAGTCTTAAGTTAAGTTATGATTTTTATATTATGTCCACGAAATATTAGGTTGTCCCAAAAGTTTCTTTCGTTTCATAAGTGGAATAATAGATGCACAACATTTTTTATTTTATGGTATTTTATGGATTTATGTATGATCGATTTTGTAGTAGTAGAATAAAATGGATCAAACATAATTCGATAAAATAATATAAAACAAAAAATGTTGTGCATCTACCACTTCTTTATAAAACGAAAGGAACTTTTGGGACAACCTAATATTTCGTAATTTGTCGTCAAATTAGATAATTATTGTCATAAACGACAGCTAATTTACCCGAGTTACTAATTTCAATAAAAAGGAGAGAATAAAATATCACCGATTTCTCTTTTCTATTTTATAAGTTACTGACAGAAATTATGAATTTGTGTACACGAACGTGAATCATAGAAATTTGCATACATGCTTAGCAAGTTGCATACGTTGTTTTAGACACGACTTTTCGAACATCTTTTCATGTCGAATGTGATTTTTATGATATTTGATGATTTCAGAGCCTGATAAATTCATGTGGAGTGCTGGAGATCGTCGACGAGACGATAGACGAAGAAAGCGATCAGGAAAATTCGCTAGTAGTGGCATTTCGACGCGTTTTAGTGAGAAAAAATTGCACGACGAGTCTCTGAAGAACGTGACACCTTTTACCAGATCGTTGTTGGGTCTCGTTACAATTTTCACGCAAGAAAAATTTTAAATATACTGCATACAAATAGACTATGTAATATATTTCTTAAATATATCAATTACAAGTGTTTGCAATAAATCGAATAATATATAGGAAATATTACACACTTTCTACTTTATATTTATCTCCTTTATACGTAATTATATTACATGTATAAAATATCGCTTGCCCTTTTCTAGGGAAATTGACTTGTTGAGATTAAGCATCTCTGATATCGTGAACATTAACTCCGGATACAGAAAAACTGCATATCCGAATAACGAGACTTTCTCATTTATGACACTTACCGCTAACAATAAACCGAACGAATATAAATACGTAATATATTCGCGAGCATTAGCTAACATAAACTTCTTACCGCGACAACAGCTCAATGCTTATTCAACGAAATTGCAGATTTCTGCCAAGTCATTCAGCTATTCATCAGCATGCATTGGATATTTACTTCGTGCATATCGTTAATCGTAATTGGCAAAATTAATTACCACGTTTACGTCGAACACTGGTGTCGAGGAAAGACAATATTCGTATTACACGATCATACATTTTAGATTATCAGACTTTTTCTCACGCGACTATAGCAATTACGAAATACGCTGACGTCTTTACAGACGTGTGTCAGAGTGCAACGCGTATACGACGACTCTGTGGGAAAGTGAAATTAAAAATAGAATCAAGTTTCAACGCACACTGCGTAGAAAAGTGCGTATTAAAGCAAAATCAATTAACCGAGCTTAAACGAATTTATGAAAATTTATTATCATGGAAATATACGAAGTAAAACAAACGTATCTACATGGACTTTGAAGATAGTACGTGACTGATCTTTTGTCTGATCTGGACGCGCACGTATCATTGCCCTTGGGCAAACTGGTTTACTCGAAGAAAAATTCTTTTTGTTCTACGTACGCAGGATATATCGTGGAACTGGAAAATACATTTATTCAGGATTGTGAGAGCAAACATCGTATTACATGTGTAGAGCTGTTGTTGAAAAATAATTTCTCTATATAAATGTTTATTTCGTTGTGTATCGAGATATTGAAGAATGAGAAGAACATTTTGATGTTGTTAATGTTGACAAAACAATAACATGTTTGGTACTTGTATTTAACAAAATGTTATTTGTTACTAACGAAAAAAACTGAAATTATTAAGCGATATAAATAAAACTGTTTCAAAGAAAAGTCCATGTTCTACTTTTCCAGTAGCTTATATCGTAGAAAGAAATTAGAGTGAGTAGTTTTTGATTTAAAAAGAATACTGTTTCTAACAATTTCCATACTTAACGTTTCCATTAAAAATGTAATACTCTATATCTTAACAATTAAAACTGGAGATTACTAGAAATACCGCATCTAGAGGAAAAGAAATAATACGGAATTAATAAATTAATTAATAAATTCATACTAAGTGGAAAGTCGATTAAATACGAATCTGTACTTGTTTTATCCGATAAGATATAGAACTCGTGCGCTATCAGAACAAAGTGAAAAATGGTTGTTAACTGTTCGCACCGGTTCTCGCCAGACAAACTGGCGAATAAACGAATCACGGCACGAGATCGGCCGATCCGATCGCTGCGAGTTGCGGCCGAGTGTCCAACTTTCACTGACAACTCGTTAGGTCCGTAGGCCGTGGTTTCGAATCATTCACAGTCATTCCGCGACGTCGGTAGACCGCGGCAGCGTCGCTGAATTCCTCCAATCGGAACGCATTCGTCATCGAATACACACATAACTTTTTGTACTTGACCTATCAAATTCTATTATTTAATCAAAACACTATAATTTCCCGTAAGTTTGTGCCCGTGTCGAGTATAGCGTTAATTAGACTTTAGAAAGCTTTGTTACCGCTCGTGTTCGTGCCAGTGATTTCACTTTTAACGGAGCAGTGTTAGAGTGCATTCCGCGGACTACAAACCAGTTTTGCAGCGATTCAATTTTAAACAAAGAAAAAAAAAAAAAAAAGAATTCGGAAGAATCCGATTCGGAGGGATATTGGAAAAATTTGACTTGTGTGGTTCAGTTTTAAATATAGTGTTCCATCGTTCGGGATTGCGTTGGCATTGCGACACACGGGATCGAAGAAAGTGGAAGTGAACAGAGAGCGAAAGTTCTGCTATAACATCTTCCACGTTGAAAGTTGACGATCCGTGACCACAGGCTTAGCACATCGTCCATGCTTCTCACGAGTATGTATTGTTTCGCTATATGTGTATTTACATGCTCTCAAAAATCGGGTTAAGGCGTTGTAACATGACTATTGCATAACTTGAACGCTCTCCTTTCAAATTCTTACGGAGACCTTAATACGTCTAATTTTGTCGACAAGTAATTATTAAATATCGATCAACATTGTTTAACATTTTTCTGTTTAATTATTACTAGAGATACAAATTATTTCAGGCAATAATTGTACAAGAATTTCTTTCACCTACTGGAATAACCTTATGTCCATAAGAAAAACGCTAAAACTAAGTGGGCTATACTAACGGACTAATACCGATTCCAATCGATATTAAATATTTTCTAACAATGCTGATACTATCCTATTTAATTATTATTAAAGGAAATATAAAAATATCCAAAGTAACAACTGTACAAAAATTCCTATTATCAACTCAGAATTGTAACTGATTATAGTGTTTAATTGAACTCGTATGTTCTAAGAATTATCGATCAATAATCGCCAGAAATAAATTCTTAACTACCATTGCATTACTGCATTACAGTGCGATAAACACGTTCGTAAAGAAGCTGCAAAAAATTGAAAGCTGCAGATATACGAGCACTATGTAACTTGCACACCAGGCGGCATTACGAAAGATTACGGTAGCTACAAAAAGTATTTACACATACCCTTCTTTCCCAATAAAACGTTTTTCCATAAAGACCCCTAGCCCCTATACATGTTGAAACATGTTGCGATGCATGATACATGTTACAATATATGCGTATCAGAAGCAACTTGTATCGATGTAGGAATCAGAATCACGTTTTAACTGAACCGATCGGCACACAGGTTTTTTCTACCTGTAACGCGTATCATCGGTTAGTTTACAGTAGGCTCCCATCGTTGTATTTTGTTTCCTAGTCCTTGAAGGATCTGTTTTCATGTGGTATCGAAAAACAAAGTCGTCGATAGGCAAATAATTTCTGTAATCGCTCGGTTCGTTCGTGTTTACTTCTCTAAATAACGTGAAATTAGAAAACTTGTTTCTCTTGATTAACCATCACTTTGTTCGTTTCTGTTTAATCTTTAATTCTTTATCTTTTGCAGTCAATATTGCCCTCTGTTATTGACAATTAATATTTGGAGAATAATCAGACATTGTAACACGCATGTTTCGACATTGGTATCGCACCAGAAACTAAGGAGAATCGGTAATCTGGTAGACTGGAACTGGTGCAGATTTCATGAAACGCAGCTGTCGACGCATGCATAGCAACGTGTTTCAACGTGTACAGCAGGTTTTACATTTCATTCTCAAGGTATCAAATGTTTATCGCGATATGAAAGTATCGCTAAACGATGCGAAACTTAATATACTTGGACCTAATTAAGTAATTGCTACAATAAATAACAATCGTTTCCAACGATACCAACGATAAATTCGAGACAATAATTGTTGCTTCCTTAGCAATCGGAGTGTCTCTGTCTAGCGCCGAGTGCTTGCATCACAACGTTCGAAGCCATTGAGTCTGTTTTTATATTATCCTCGAGCAGTCGACTATTGTTCTTCGAATTTCGAAGATTCTACAATAGCAGCGCTATCTTCGGCAACGTTCGGCGGCTCGACGGCTTAGCAACAGCTCACCGAACTGTCAAGGCTGTCAACGACCACCGATAACTGTTTTCCGTTTCATCGTCGTCGTTGACATATGTCACGTTTCATTGTTGAAAATGCTGTTTGATCGCGGTTTCGGTCGCTGCTTGCACAAAAATCTAAAATTCCCCAATGAAACGAAGAGCACGTATGCGGCATAAATCGGCGAGTTGCGTTCGGTCTACGTACTTACGCGTTCTCGCTTTGTAATTTACAGATCTACCATCACGTGTGATATTCACCGTGCTCGACGTTAATCCGTTCTAATTTCTCTCTAATTGTTCGCGCCCGTACAAAGTTTAGAAGTACAGCCTCGATTTATTTACTCCGTAGCCTACATTAAATATTAAGATTGTTTCGTCAACCTAGTTTTGAGTTATAGTAAACTCTTATAACTTGATATAATTTTCCTAGTCGTACGAAAATATTATTAAATCATACGAGCTTTTAGTATATTTAGACCCGATTAATTAGTACTTAAATGCTACGATAAATACGCTTGTTTCCAACCGCTCCAACGTTAAGTTCGAAGCAATAATTGTTTTTGCCCTAATAATCCCCTGATAGTTGTAATGAACTCTTGTTTGGATAATCTGCTCGTCTCGCGTCCGTGATTATTTATTATCGGCTTGATCTTTCGTTCTAATTTATTCCGATGCAGCGTAGACGCCTCCGACGTTACGTTCCAAACAACAATGGTACGCAATAATATTTTTTGTAGCCACTGTAATTCCAAGACGATGTCAATTTATTGTCGACTCTTGTCCTCGCCTTAATTCTAATACGAAGATTAGTATCGGTAATATAACCCTCTTTGCCTTTTAATCCTTCTAAGACTTTGCGTCTTAATCGACGGCTATATTAGGTGTAGCAGCGCGAGGACTAAAGTTCAAACAGCAAATCCAGTGGCGCGGCGTGTTCTTCCGATCCGGTCCTTGAATCGGTAGAGGCCGCAGTGAATCGAGGATCGTCGATCGGTGCGGACGTGACGTTACAAGGACGCCAGTCGGCATGGCTATGGACACCAGCACTGTGCGTCTCGTGATATTCCTCGGGATGTTCCTCATGTTCGCCGGTGACTACAGCTACGTGATCTTCACGATTTTCGGTCGATCGTCTCGGCAAAATATCACTGAACCGGTTAAAAGTCTGGAGGATCCTGCAAGCAAGGTTCCTGCAGACAAGGTAGCCTTGACGACGGTGAAGAAGGATAACGAGAAAGAAAACGGTAAGGAATAATTTACATGCGCACGAGGAACTAAGAAATCTCGACTATCGACGCGCTAACGAACGTTCGTAATGTAATTGTAATTTCCGGAAATGTTATGCTAATGTACTTGTGCATCGTAACGAATCATCGGATTTTTTATCGTAGTACCGTGTGCGGTTTCGTTCCGGGATGTTAAAGGAAGTGTTAATTCCGTTTGATTTATTCTTATGGAAGCTATTGATTTAGTTTGAGCTCCATTGAGTTCCATGTGGATGGAGAGCTTCGATTTGTAATGCGTTGAGCTGTAGATAATTAGAAGTAAAGTATTATTCTCCCTTCTCAATGAAAGTTAGTATTTGTTTTGTTAGAGGCATTTGCATAGTCTTAGTAATTACAGAAACAATAAATTTGATACAAATTTGATATGATTCGTTATTCAAGGTGGGGACAACAATGACTCGCGTTGTACGTTCATTAAATTCGTTGAATAAATTGTGTTCCATAATAGTCATCAAATTGGAGAAATTCTTCCTGTGAGCGAGACAGCATAATGTACAAAATATTGGACTCTTTTATCCATCAAATTGGATTTCAAACAATTTGAGAGAAAAATTCATCGTATTAATGTAAGAGAAAGTCCTTAATCCTCATTCCAGAAATTTAGTACATTTTTTACCTGAAGTTTTACCTCAAGCGATTATCTTTTTATGTTCTGATCGTTAATTGTTTGGCGTTATTTGCGTAGGTTTAATCGATAGTACGCAGCATGCAGAATGTATTATATTTTTCGTTAGTCGTGTACAAGTCAACTATCCGAATTAATAGAATTTCTTAAAAATCTTTATTGATCGCCACAAATTTACAAAATACAATTTGCAGGCTTTTACGATATTGTTGTCAAGTATTATCCACTTAGTATATTTTCACTAGCTTTCTTACGCAATCTTTGAATAAAATAGGATCAATTGTCGCAACCAATCGACGATCGACCATCGAAACATTCCACGGCCCAGCTGTCCGATTTAATTAATATTTCTCGCTTTAACGACCCGATAGTTCGTATTAATCACAAGACTATATAACTTGAAGCAAGGAAACGATAAACAGATCGAAATAAACGTTGAAGATAAACAGGTTGGAGAGCGAAAGAGTAAGAATTGTTTACTTAGATTATCTACCTAAAAGGTAAAACCATGCGTAGCTTGATTTCCAAGCCGAGATACACTGAACATACTATTCTGCAGTATAAACTAATTTGCATAAACATTAAATGTTCATTAGTTCGTTAATGGGGGGGGGTTATTTAGAAAAGTTTATGCATCTTATATGTAAATTACTTTACAGCGATCTCGCGACGCGCGAAGATGATGACGACGATCAAGACGGCTTGCTTGCCCAAGCTTATATGCGAACTGACCTCGTCCGTCCATCAGGATCAGCTGAGTGAGATGGAACGGTCACTGCTAAACTTAATCAGGTAAACGACGAGTTGTTTGTTCCTCTTAAGTAGATAAGTTCAGGGACACAAAAAAAATTAATACGTAGCTCGATTTACATTTCCTTATAAATTAACGATCGAATTATTTAACAATTTTGGTCATTAATTTTACCCAAATATGTGTTCAATGTTAAAAATTCTTTCGTCGAATTTTTAGCACTAGAACTAGCGATGATTAAAATATAAACTTGGACCAACAGCTTTCTCTATAAATTTCTATATGACGCTATCGATCGGTCATTTTTACTATTTTCATAGTCCTGCTGTCTAAACATCCATATGAAATTATCTAGAAATTAGTATTCCATAAAAATTCCATCGCCTGCTGCGCTGAACCGCCTAGAAACATTAAGAAACCGAGCAGTAACTTTACTTTTCAATTAGAAATTCATCCGCGTTGCGGTTCATCGATATTCCAAGTCCTCCGTGGAATTACATTTTCGATGGCCTCTATGTAAGAAGTAGTCCGAAACGTTCCACTTTTAGGCGGGTGAAAGAAACGAAATAGATCATGACGAAGAAACAGCGATTACACACTAAGAACGTTTACGAACCGTTCGACAGAGTTGATTGACGTTCGAAACCTCCGGGATGATGGGGCAGTTTCGCGCTGAAACTTTTACACCTCATAGGACGCTCGTAGCTCGTCCACTTTCATCATCGACTCGTTCCAGTTCACCACTTTCACTTTCCACTTTCGATCACCATCGACGGTAATGCGAGTTCATTCGTTCATGGATCATGAGATTCTCGATAGGTCAGCAACCATAATAAGAGCCACCAATGTCACGTTGTGAAATTTATATTACATCCTGGACTCAGTTGGACTATTGTCCTCGTTCTGTTTACGAGCTATCAATGTCTCGATATCGTTCAATGGTATCTTGTAGCTCGAGCTAATTGCTTCCTAATTTCGTATAGATAAATCGTATTCTATCGTGGATTGCGTGTAGAAACGTTGGTCTTGTTCTTTTTACTGACTGTAAATATCTCTCGATATTTGTTTTACGGTATGTTCAACATCAAGCTGAGATATTGGATGACGAAGTTCCTCAATTTTTATAGAAAGATCGTATTCCATCGTAACTTGCGTCGAAACATTGTTCTTACGAGTTATCGATATCCCGATAGTATCTTCCAAATCAAGCCACGTATTCGATAACGTCGATTTTTATACAAAAATTCGTAAAACGCTGGATCAAGAAAAACGATTGCTTCGTTACAAAATCGTTAGAACAATTTACGCACGTTACGAATCATTGATTCAACAACCTGACTACGCAATAGCGAACTGTTAATTGAACAATAAACATAGCCATACACGCTCGCACAATGTTACAATCTCGCGCCACCTAGAAACCTTATTAAATCAGCCATACTTTATACGTAAATCGAGCACAGCGTTCATAAACAACAATATGCAGCCTCTGGACTCCACTCTCCCTGTCGGAGAATTAAACGTCAGCTCGTCGGATTACCTTCCAATCTGCAGATTACACCGATGGAGCAGTGTACGCGCCGAATGCTCTCTTCGATCGTGGGAATATCGATCAGCGCGGTCGAAGCTTGATCCTGGTGCGCGAAACAACAAGCCGAGCGCACAGGCCAAACAAACGTCAGTTCGATATCTCGCTAAACAGATGCAGTCGAACAGTCAGGCTCGATATCGTTGCTCGCGAGGATGCAGCGTGTCATCGAAAATTGGATGGCGAGCTGAGCGAGCCGCGCGTTGCGCAATTTTCAATGAACGAGCGTTCGACGTTGAACGATCGCGCACGGAGGTTACGAAGCACGTCGCGACGCTGGTTCGCCGCGTTGAAATTGGATGACGGCCGCAGTATCTCGCAATATTCGTTTACGATCGAGAAGCGAAACGCAGCCACGCGCCGCCGCCATCGGGGGTCATTTTGCTCGCTGATTAAAAGCAAAGTTATGTTAAACCGGCCAAATATCGACC